CTTCATCTATTAATCTGCCATCCTTACCGAACAGCAGCATTGTTTACTCGGTGGTCCCAGGGTGTACGAGCGATGCTCTGGAGACACCTATGATCGAAACCAGTAATATACGAATATCTTCTATTCTGTTTCACTACCATAAATTAGGACAGAGTGAACTGCTGCGCGGTACACTCGTCCTTTGGTTAGCAGCAATACACTCCGCCTTGAGCCCAGATAAAGGGGAAGGGATGGGCATAGGGTTAGCAACTTTTTGTATCTTTTATTATTACTAGTAATGATTTGAAAAATTTCTATTGTAAACATTTAATTACTAAGCTTTTATCGATTGAATTCAAAGCTTTTCCCAATCATTTCCGTCTGGATATTTACATATTAACATTAGTTAGAAGCGGAAAAACCAAGAGGAAGCCTTAGCCCATGAAGTCGTTCATTTTTAGACTGAATCAACATAGATACTTCTCAGACCAATTGGTCGAAATCCTTGTAAACATTTCCTATAAATGACCTGATCCTGGGTTTAGGGTGATCAAGAATGCTCTGACTCTAGCAAGAAGGTCACTATTTCACCTCAGTTTGTTGGAACCTGCTGCAAACCATATTCAGGTGGGCTGTGATGTGTAGCATTTGTCATCAGTAAGGCAGCATCATAGTTACATCCTCCTGGAGCTCCTCTTGGCGTAATGTTGGTCCCAAGACCAGAGGAGAATGTGGATTCAAGCTGTCAACTCCACCTTGTAAACACAACCTCGTTAGGAAATGGTAATCAGAAAAAAATCATTACGATAATACATAATAAACTTTACGAACTACTTCTAAATACTCTTCAATAGCTTTCTTTTGTCTCATTAACAGTAACTCCTGGAATTATTCTACTGTTAAACATTCAAGACTAACAATTGATCAGTCTTCCTCAGCATACATGCATCCCGTAAGGGGATTTTTCGCTTTGATAATCCAAACTTTATTTTTTAAATATCAGTGTAAAATCTTCCTGACTGCACAAGTAATTCAGAAAAATAAACGCCTTGGCGTTGATAGTGACAAATGTTCGTTTCAAGTCTCAATGTGAACAGCGGGATGATGGTACAAGTTCGTAAAAGAATGACATGGGTATTCTTGGTTAACCAACAAGCCTGCTGCACATGCACGCCGCTGCTTTTTAGGCAACACAAGGATTCTCACAAAAGCCAATTTTGCGATCACCCCTGCCCCTGCACATGTTGTCTAGATTGGTCTGCAGACAAGTAGACATCCAAAAAGCACGCACACGAGCAATGGCCCCCGTTTGGGCACTTATGAATCAACCAATAAACTATCCACGATTCCCAATCGGCAAGGGTAGCAAAGCAGGCTTCCCCAGCTAGACCTGGCACCCCGAAAAGGATTACCGAGCCACCTAGTAGTGCACTAATCAGCAGCGTTCCAACCGTCTGGCCTCCAACTGCCTTGCGCTGATACAATCGATCGGAGCCCCCAAACTCCATATGAAGCTAAAGATCGAGTTTGTCCCACAAGGTCAGCCGGAACGTACACCCTCCAACGGGGTAGATGTCATGAACTCGACCGAGCGCAAGCACTCAGTCAAGCAGTGTTAATCCCACATAAGTGAGAAGACATCATTGGCGTCCATTACTGTTTAGCACCGGATCACATAACCCAACTAGACACCCTTGTTTAAGGGACCTCGACTCCAGTTTACACAATACATCTAGATGCAGAGTGTTTGGGGCAACCACATAGGGTCGGCATCAATATTTAAGGATCTTTCGGGCTGATTCCCAAACAAGCTATCTAGGGCCGCCGTCAGGTATCCTAGAAAGCCTTATCCCATTATTTCAAATTTACCTACGCTCGGTGGACGGGATTCAGACATAAAGACGTTCGGTCCTAATCCCCCACAGTGGCAAAACCGCATCAACGGCCTTGCGACCATGAACAAGTACCATTATTCTGGGCCATGCTAGGCACGGTATCCTAAACGTTCGAAACGGCTTTTAGTCGCAGAGCTCTAACCGACGCCACGTTTTCTGGCAGAACCACGAACAGGGAGCCGCCACCACAACCCCCAGAAGTCTCCATTTATGCGCGTCAACCAATATACCAATTCAATTAGATGATGAGTCATTTGGCTACCTTAAGAGAGTCATAGTTACTCCCGCATACAATGTTTTATGTCCTACAAAATCGGTTTCTTGTTTACTGTCCTCGCAACTCTCTCTCTCTCTCTTGGCTATCTACTTTTATAAATGCGCCTATTCCGCAATATACAATTCTCATAGCGCTTTTGACATAATTGACATTAATTAATTACCGAAAGTAATATCTGTCCAATTGAAGTTAGTTCCTGAAGAGAAACCTCTAATTCATCAATTCATTCACAACACTCCATAATAGTCATTAAGAAATACTGACTGTTGATTAACATGGAGAAGTAATTACCGGAGATCTTATAACAAGCCATAACTACTGGAATTCTATTATGATGAGTATGAGACAAATATCACCAATAGTGGTGAATGACTGCTGTCTCAGATTGATTGAATTTAGAAGTAAAAACTAACCAACGGAAAATTAGCAGTCGTCGCAAAATCTAGATGGTTTTGGATTAGACCGGTAGCAAGGTCTCCGATACAACATAACATGCATCAACCAAATCACTCTTGATGGAGATGCTTTGGAAGGCATAAAATGCTTTACATATCTGGACTGCATCTTTGATGAGCAAGGTCGATCTGATATAGATTTGAAGGCGCCGATCAGAAAAGCAAGGAATGCATTTTTACAATTGAACAAAATTCACAACTCAAAACAGATGTCTGTCAATAAACACCAACAAACATCAAGTCACTTCTGTTGTACGGAAAGGAATCTTGGAGAACTACGAAAGTCATCATCCAGAAGATACAGGTGTTTTTTAACACTTTTCTATGCAAGATATTGAGGATCTGTTGGCCAGACACTATCAGCAACAACCTACTATGGGAGAGAACAAAAGAGATTCCATCTGAGGAAGAAATAATGAAAGATCTTTGGAAGTGGATAGAACACACAGTGAGAAAATCACAAAACTGTGTTATACGACAAGCCCCCATTTAGAATCCTCAAGGCCAAATGAAGAGAAGAACATCGAAGAACCTAATACGCTGAGAGTTAGATGCAGACTTGTGAAGAATGAACAGCAACTGAACAGAACTAGAAAGGAAGCCCCAGTACAGAGTAGGTTGGAGAATGCTGGTAATCGGCCTATGCTCCATTGGGGGTCACAGAAGTAAGTAATTAAATAAGATAGCAAGGTTACATATGTGCATACCAGATTGGTCAAATACACACGTAATATACCATTACCTAGTATTTTATGTTTCTGAATAGTACTTCAAGTAAACCAATCTCCAAATAATCCCTTAACCTGAAATAATCCAGTCCCAAGACATAGTCAAAATATAATTTTGTGCCAATACTACTAATAAACAATAATAGTAGTTTTATCTTTTATTCCAAAAAACAATTCAATAAAGTGGTTTATTATTTTTTTTCAAAACATACGTGTATATTTTTCTGCTAAACTAAATTTTTCTTGTTGACTAACAACGGTATTGGAATTTTTAAAAATTATTTGACATTGATCAATCCATTCCAATGCTGCTTTCAATGATGTAATCGGTTGATTGATCAATCCCACTGGTAATAATTCACTGATGAATAATAATGAAGATTGAATTGATGAAGGAAAGTTTGCATTGTACCAACTCATACATGGATGTTGTTTACATTTGTCATTGAGTCCAGCAATGAAATCTTTTTGTGTATTGCAGTGATAATAATAATAATGGTGATCATTATCGTAAGTAGGTCTACTTTGTATCATGGTATATGGGTAGATGTTTTTACTGTGCTATAGAAAAGAAACCAAATAGATATCAATGAAATACTTGCCTTAATTAAAAATGCGGTTCTTATTACTTA